CAGAAATTTTCGTACACATCTGGACGTCGCGAGGAGTACAGCTTTCTGCATGGCCTTATAAAGATGTTCATTTAGACCCAGCTGTTTTATGTTCGCTAGGAGGTTTTTGGGAATAACACCAGTAGTAGATAGAACAATAGGTAGTGTCTGGGTACTTTCCATTCTCCATTGTCTCCTGATTTGTATTTCTAGATCTCTGTACTTGGCGATCTTTTCGTTGTATTTAACAACTAAATTATTGGTGTTGGGTATCGCCACATCAATAAGTGTTGTTTGTCTAGTAAGTTTATTAACTAGTATGAGATCCGGTCTATTATGGGCCACTGGTTGGTCTGTAAGCACAGTGCGGATTATTATTATATAACAAATAAGGTCAGAGGAGCGAGCTCCTATTATGCCCAAAAAGCAAAAATAAACAAAAATAAAATAGATCCTTATAAAACTAATACTAAATTATAAAGTTAAGTAGTTAAACAATTAACGAAAATTGAATTGTGACACAATAAATAGATAAATAATGCTGTCCGAGAAAAAATATCCTATCCTATAAAAAAAATTAAGTGCTGTCAAGTTTATTTTTAAAGATGTTAACACTAGTTGCCGATATGGTGTCTTGATCCAAATTGTTCCATATATTAAAGATTCTGTTTGGCAAGAAGTTCGCCCTGGACCTTGCAGTAGTTTGTTCCCTCTTTAATTTGTATCGATGGCCTCTTAATCTATCGTCTTCATTCAAAGTGAATATGTTGTTTAGGTTCCCAAAATTATGTTTTAAAATATGGAAGGACATAATTAGATCACCTCAAAGACGTCGCTGCTCGAATGTCGTAAGATGAGCCATGAATAGTCTATCTTCATAGTTAGGTCTTACACGGCCGTATGCCAGTCTTGTGGCTTTACGCTGAACGTTTTCAAGTAGGATTTTATCGCGACTAAGATCTGGATTCCACACTGGTCCGGCAAACTCAAGAATAGGTCTAACGTATATTGAGTAAAGTTTACTAACAGAGGTTCGAGATATGCGTGCAAAACACTTACGAATCAAAAACAGTTTAGAGTTAGAACGTTTACACACCGACACTATGTGATCAGACCAATTTAAGTCACTATTAATTATCACTCCGAGATCGTTGTGTGAGGTTACAGAGTTTAAAGGATGTCCATTAATAAAGTACGGAAGTGATGGGTTATTTTTGCCGATATGTAAAACAACGCATTTTTCAATGTTAAGCGGAAGTAAACATTCTGAGGACCATTTGAATATTGCGTCAAGATCTTGTTGAAGAATATGTTGGTTAATAGTTGGATTCACATATAACTTAGTGTCATCAGCGTAAATGGAAACCTTACTGGATACAATGAGCGGAAGATCACTAGTGTAGACACAAAAAAGTAGCGGTCCAAGTACTGATCCTTGTGGAACTCCACTCTTGACTGGCTTATCTAATGAGTGGTTTTCCCCAACACGAACCCTGAAGTATCTGTCGGATAGAAAATCTTGTATCCAAATGTTTAATTTTCCGCGGATACCATAGTGATCCAATTTAGCTAGTAATCGACGTTTTGGAACAAGATCGAAAGCTTTGGAGAAGTCTAAGTAAACTACATCGACAGGATTCCGATTGTTTAAAGATAATGACCAATCATTTACACAATGAAGTAAGTTTGTGATCGTTGAACGACCTTTGATAAATCCATGCTGTTGGTGAGGGATGACATTTTCTTGAAGAAGGAACTCGGACATAGCTTCCGAAATAACTGATTCCATGACCTTGCTGACAATAGGAACCAGGCTGATTGGACGATAATTATTGCAATCAAGTTTATTACCTTTCTTGAATACAGGAGTAACTGAAGCCAATTTCCAGGACGAGGGGAGGGAACCTTGAATAAAAGAAGCAGTCATTATGAGAGATATAGGGATGGCTACAGAATCTGCACATTGTTTGAGGAAAAAAGAGGTGAGTCCGTCTAATCCAGGTGATGAATTATTTCGCAGTTTCCTTAAATGATATTTAATTTCATCCGGTATGAAAGATATATTGTCAAGAGTTTTAGACAAACGAGGGCACATTATTTGAGGAATGGTATCGTTAGATTCATCTGTAAAAACTTGAGAAAAGAATAACGATTAACATTCCGAAGATTCGTTATTCGAAGAACAAAAAGACCCATCGGCTTTTTGAAGCAATGGTATGGAGACTTTAGAAGATAAAGATGTACGAATGTACCGATAAACTTTTTTACTATTACCACTTGCAATGATAGATTCCTCAAATTCTGTTCTTAACTTTAGCAAAGATTGTTTGACTCGGTTAGAAAAATTACGGTGGGCGAGAAAATCATCAGGGGAACCAGTGAGTTTATATCTTCGCCAAAGCTTTCGCTTATGTCGAATTAAATGAGTAGTTGAGAGGTTAATCCAAGGTTTTAGTCGATTTCTATATACCTGCCGTTCGGTTGTATGATCAGAAATTGTTGTAATAGCAGTATGAAGAAAAGAGTCCCACATTGACGATGGATGAGAGTGATTAGGAAAAATAGGTTGCCAGTTTATCTGGGATAAAACTGAATTTACATCAAAGAAATTAGTAGTGGCATACGTTACGAAATTATTTTTGCAAGGCGGTGTTAAACTAAATTGAATGTGAGCAGTAATAAGCGAGTGGTCAGAAAGACCTACAGGAGAGGACACTTCAAGTGTAGAAATTAATTCATCGTCATTTGTGAAAAATAAGTCTAAAATTGAAGGATTATTGTTGGCTCTAAACCTTGTAGGTTCAGTTATCAGTTGTAATAAATTTGAGTTCATGATAAAGTTTTTAAACAAATTTTGGGAATTAATAGTATCAGTTTTGGAAATAATGGGCCAGCTTATTTCTGGAAAATTGAAATCTCCAACAACAATAAGATTTTCAAGGGATGATAATTCCTCAAGTTTGTTAATAAGCATATTGTCGTGAGTAAGTACTGTATCGGGAGGTCGATATATGCAAACTATATTAAATATGAAAGAGTTTTTAGTAATAAGTAAGTGGATAATTTCTATACCGGGTACGTCTATTGTTTTATTACTGATGGAAAAAGTGTTGGTAATTTCATTTGCTAAATAGATGTATACTCCTCCCCCTCGACGAGTATCTCTGTCTCTACGAAATATAGTAAAATTATCAATGTTTACAATAGCACCGGGAATAGAAGAATTAAGCCACGTTTCTGTTAGGAGAATAATGTGAGGTTTTAAAAGTTGAACAGTACTTATAAATTCATTAAATTTGGACATAAGAGAGTTTAGATTCGTATACATAAGAAGCCAATCCGTAAATTCTAGTGCAGAAGGATTATGAACAAAATTTCATTATCTTTGGACAGCCATTCACATATTTAATCGTAACGACATTTTCTCCATTATTATATCTGAACGCTTCATTGCTCTCTTATAAACTTATTTATTTTCGCCCCCTAAGAGTGTAAACAGCATTGGATCTCACAGTGTTCTTATTCTAGTTATCCTTAAGAGCTTCTTGGTTGTAGGTTTTGTGGTAAGATTAGACCACTGTTCACATATGGATGTGAAACGTTAATCCTTTCAACCATTAATGAAAATCAATTGAAAATATTTGAGAGTAAAATATTAAGGATTAAGATATATTTGGACCAACTCATTATTGCAATGAATATTGCAATTAATAAAAATAAACTTTGAGCTGGATGAATTAATACAGAGCGTAGATTATCGTGTTAGTCACAAATACTAAACTGGCTTTACCACCTATAAGGAAAGCCAGATAATTGAGCTGTAAAAGTAATCCAAAAATAGAAACAACAAGAAAATACAACAAAATGAAGGCCAAGTAAATGGTGGATATACGATGTCGAGGAAAATCTTGAAATCACGAACATCAGGCAGTAGTAAGTATAAGTATCCGACAGGCAGAATGGAAAAACGTTGTTAAGTAGGCCAAGACCCACTAAGGGTTGTAGTGCAATTAGGAGAAGAATGTAATTTACTAGACTTATGCTAGTTGTATGTATTCTCACTTTATTTCCAGAAGATCTACTGCCAATATTTTTAGGACATCTTACTATTCCAGTCTGCTTATATTCCTGAATTGTTCTATAAATAGTTTGAATTTACAATACCTAAAATTAGCACATTACTTTGGTAAGTGTTAATTTTAACAATAACTATTCTGCAAAACGAACCTGTTGCCTGTTTTATTTTTGCTACCATGGCTGTTATTTTTATTCCAGGATTATCAATTTTTTTTGTTTGTACATATTTATAATACATTGTTTTCCATTTGATGATAAATGACCCAAATCTACTCGACGTTTTTTAGGTTGAGAAGGATAATTACCACTAGTACTTGGCATTAAAGCCATATTGTTACCTTAATAATACTAATACGTCGCTAAATAGTTCTGAAATGAACTGTTTTTTATATAAATGCAAACGAAAAAAGTTTAAAAGTTAAAGGAATAACGTAGAAAATACAAAAAATCGTGGATATGAATTTTGAATTTTAAAATTTCATAAATGTTATTATTGTCAAAATGTCATAATTGCGTGGAGTAAACTTGCATGCGGTTGGACCAATTACAAACAAGCATTGCGGCGCGGTAAATTTGAATTACACCTCAGTTCTATCAGTTACTAGTGCAATTTTTTATACATTTGATAAATTATTTGGTTGAAGTATTTAAAAACAAATTTGATTTATTACTTTTTATTGACTTGATAATTTACGACGTATTAATAATAAGTTAATAAAAACATGCCACTTTCAGATAACTATATTAATACACGGAATATTGTGGATTACTCAAGAATTTGAATTTAGCTTCTATATTGTAAATTTAATCCACTAATACTTGTTTACATTTGATTACCACGTTTTTTAGATTCATATTCAGTAGGCACCTTGTTTAAAATATTAATAGGATTATTTTTACGATAAGAAGTGTTTATAAACAACTGTGGATATTTTGCAAACTTCATAAGCCATGAAAATGAAATATTGCAAGATTTATATCAGTTTATTGTTACTAGGAGCGTGCCATTTGTGTAAGTTATTATTATTGACACTTATTCAATGATATGAGTTTTAAATACATTGAAGTGGATGGCTTGCAGGTTTGTTATATTTATGTCCTCTCGTCTTAGATTTTCCATGAATCTCCAAGACTCCGAAGACTTGCTTCCGTCTAAACTTGATTCTACTTCCTAGCATTTTAGCGAAGTTACCTCTTCTTCTTCTTCTTCTTGTTCCTCTTTATAAGCAATTCTGCTTGTTCATTGGCGGATTAATATCTTTATGGAAGGTTTTCACTCCATATTTTGCGCGGTTGTCCGATGACGACACGGGTGTCCTACATTCTGACTTTGTATAGTTCGCTGTAGAATTTAGTCACGAGTTGTATTATTTAATTTCTGACTATAATTTTGGTGTTTTCGTTTGTTAGAGCAACGATTTGCTTCGTCCCAATGATTAATGCTTTTTTTATTGTCTTATAGTTTTTCCTTTTTTCCATTCTTACTTCGATACTCTTAGAGACTTCTGTATATTGTATTCTCTGTATGTTGCTACTAACTTTCATTTCCCTTCTTTGTTTTAGGATTATTGTAGTTTTATGAGACAGTTTACTATGTTCATTTTGTTGTTGAGGGCCTCCGATTTCTTTCGCACTATCAAAGATGTTATTAATTATTTGAGAGCTGTCAAATTGCTCATGTAATCTTTCATCTATTGTCCTTTGATTGTGATCTGAGTTTTCTTTTAGATTGTTAATATTTATACCGGTTACTCTTGGTTTTGTGATCAATTTTTTTCTTTCTAGTTTCAGATCAATTTTTGAACAATTTTTGCTGTGATTAGTCTATGGTCGCTGCCTGTTTGAAATTTATTTATTACACTGACATCTTTTATTGCAGTAATGTTGTTGGTTAGAATGAAGTCAATTTTATTCTTAGTATTATCATTTGGTGCTACCCAAATCTATTTTATGTTTGATTTTTTTTTTTAAAGAATGTCCTCCTCCTCAATCCTTTAGCCCTTGTCAGGGCGTAGTGACACCCTAAATATTATTAGTCTGCTGTCACCATTGACTGCAATCTTGTGCCATATGGACGGCTTCATGTAGGGATTTTCCCACCAAACTCTTTATTTGGTCCACCCATCGTATTGGAGATCTTCCTCTTGGTCTTCGGCCTTCTACCTTACCTTCTACTACCAATAGTTCCATGGTGCCCGTTCTTCTAGCTATGTGGCCGAAGTAAGTTAGCTATGCTTGGTTTACTTTTTTTAGTAGCCTGTCTTTTATATGAAGCTCTTCCAGAATTGACAGGTTGGTTCTATGTTCTGTCCAGGACACGCGTAGAATTCTTCGATCTTACTCCTATCGATTTTTTTGAGAGTCCATGTTTTAGCTGCATATGTACCAATGGGAAAAATAAGGGCATTGACCAACCTAAGCTTAGTATTCCTTGTTATTGTTCGGTCTTTCCATATTTTAATTAATTTAGCAGTTGCGGTTCGGGCCATTCCTAGTCTACGTTTCATTTCTGAGGAACAATCACCATTGTTGGTTATCAGAGAGCCCAAGTATACAAATCTGTCGACTACTTCGAAAATCCCTATTTGGCGTATATGCGGTAGATTATTATTTGCTATGTCTACAATCATTATTTTTGTTTTTCTGGTGTTGATTTGAAGTCCAAATTCTTCACTTATGCGGCTAATCTTCGGCTTAAAGAATGTATTTCCCATTAATTTCTATCACCGTGTCCATACTTTCCCACGACTTGTTACGTGTCGTTTCTCTCTCCCACTTTGGCAATAAAGTCACAAACTAAATATTTTATTGTTATTTAATGTTTCACTTGGAGCATATATTTATATAATTTGTTTCTCTTTGATAGATATAAGGTCAAGTTAGGTACTCTATCCGAGATACTGGTTATTTCTACTATTCTTCAATTCCATTTCTTGTTGACTAGGAAACCAATATCTCCAGTTCTATCGTTTGATGTGCCTAGGTAGTGAAATGTGTTTCTTGACGCTAATTCCAATAGCTCTTCATTTTTTCGTTTTACTTCGCTGATTCCTATGACATTTCATTTTATATTTTCTGTTTCTTTTTCCAGTTCTACAAGTCTGGATTGATTTCATAGTGAGCGGCAGTAATATATCGTCATACAAAACGTTGTTGTTTTATTTGATTAACAGTTTAGACTCCGCAGATTCTTAACACCGGGCTTGATTTCAAAAGATATCCATTTTGAGGCATTTGGACCTACGAAGAAATTAAGGCCATAATTTGAATGCCTCGTCCATGTCTCCTTCACAGTTAATATCCTTTTATTTAGTGCTTGCAAATTTTTTGTTCTTTTTCATAGTTTTTGTTTAATAACTATATATACTTCCTTGGCTGCTCTCTTGTCTTTCAGCACTTCGCTAAAAATGTGGACAAATTTGTTTCTATAATGATATATGTCAATATTTTTTTGTTCTTCTAGTCCTTTAGTAACGTCCAAATTCTTTGTCCTGTTTCATAATCGTGGTCGTCTTCTAAGTGTTCAATTTGGTATTTCCTGTATTATGGGATTCGTTGCTATAAAGCTTTTAGGAAGTATGTTAGACTTAGCGGAAAGATTCAGTGATTGTGAATTCTGTATTTGTGGTGACTACAACCTACCTGAAGCATCTTGGGATAATCTTAGTAATGGTGTTACGGTTGAGTATCCTCATCACTCTCCAGCAAATATTATTTGTACTTGCTACAATTTTCAAAATATGTCACAAGTAATTGCTTTGCCTAACATTAATAATAAATTTTTAGATCTAGTTTTCTGTACTCAGAAAGATGCAGTTGTGTCGATTTCAACTGATATTCTATTGAATACTTCGCAACATCATTCAGCTTATACTATAGTGTTACATGAAGCCAATTTAAATTTGTTTCTTAAATATGATGTCTTCTATCATGATTTTAAAAAATGTAATTACCAAGTTTTAAATGAATATTTAGCCTCAATTCCTTGGAACAATGTATTAGATGAATCGGATATAAATTGCTGCTTAGAAACTTTTTACCATATTTTATATGATGCCATCAATATGTTTGTTCCTATCAAACGGTTTAAATCATTAAACTTTCCAGTTTGGTTTTCGCGAGAATTAATTGAGCTTGTCATACAGAAAATAAGAGCTCACAAGAATTTTAAAGCATCAGGCAACTCATATGATGAATTTTCGGTGTTAAGGGAAAGATGTAAAGCATTACAAGCAGTATTTTATAAGAACTATTTAGAGAATATTCAAACAAATCTTTCAAGTAATCCCCACTCTTTTTGGAGGTATGTTAGTACTACACGTGGGTGTAGTGCTTATCCTAATGTAATGTCTAATAAAGGTGGGGATGTAATAGCTCAGAATGGTGATGAAATAGTCAATTTATTTGCCAGCTATTTTTCAGGTACATATACTGATAGTGAGTGTAATGTACCTAATTTTAAATTGGACTATAATGTGAATTTCCAGAGTCTGAAGTTTAGTCTAACTGATGTTTTCTAGGGGATTAGCAGTTTAAAAACTACATATTCTTCAGGGCCTGATGGTATACCTGCAGCACTTATTAAGAACTGTATTTTTTCCCTTTGTAAACCTTTACAACAAATTTTCAATTTATCGTTGTCATCTGTATTTCTACAATATTGGAAAAATAGTTTTCTTACACCTATCTATAAATCTGGCAATCGCGAGTGTGTTAACAATTATAGAGGTATAACTATTCAATCAGCAATCCCGAAACTTCTTAATAAATTGGTATCGATAAATCTCACCTGGGCTTGCAGAAACATAATTATTGATGATCAACATGGTTTTTCTAATGGAAAATCAACTGTAACAAACCTTCTTAATTACCAACAATACTTGTTGGGTGCATTTGAGAATAAAATTTAGGTTGACTGCGTTTACACTGATTTCTCAAAGGCCTTTGACCAGGTTAATCATAATCTTTTCGTCCACAAACTTCATGCATCTGGCTTTGGTGACTTCATTGTTAATTGGATTAAAAGTTTTCTGATGGGACGTACACAGCAAGTTCGTATTAACAATTAAATTTCAAAAGAATTTCATTGTTATTCTGGTGTACCACAAGGGTCTCATTGTGGTCCCTTGTTTTTAACTTGTTCTTTAACGATATTGGTAAGGCTATCAAAAACTCACACTTCCTGCTATTTGCTGATGATCTTAAGATATTTCGTTGTATACATAATAAATCGGATAGATATCTCCTGCAAGATGATGTAAACAACATTTGTTTATGGTCAAAACAAAATGGTTTAAGCTTAAATCCAACTAAATGTTCTTGTATTTTATTTGGTCGTATAAATAATCTAATGGCTAATAGATATATTCTTAATGATATACTCTTGGATTCAGTTACTGAGATTAGAGATTTGGGTGTATTATTGGATTGTGCATTGACATTTAGAAGCCATTTTCTTAAAATTAAGGAAACAGGATTTCGTAATCTTGGTTTTATTTATCGCAACAGTCATGATCTTTCACCTATTGTATTTAAATTATTGTATTGCTCTCTCGTACGCTCAGGTCTTGAATACCGCTCTGTTGTCTGATCCCCGTTGCATCAAGTATACATTTTGTCTGGTCCCCGTTTCATCAAGTATACATTGATGGATTGGAGAGCGTCCAGAGGAAGTTTCTAAGATCTTCAGCTTTTAAAGCCCATATTAATATAAAAAATACTGAAAATTATTTCATAGATTATTCTATAATAATGTCTCATTTTAACATTAATACATTGAAGAACCGCAGGTTGAGAGCTGATATGTTATTTTTGTTTAAAATTCTGAACAATGTTATTATTTGTCCCTCGTTATTGGCCAATGTACACTTAAACACAATGCACAGAACTCGAGATACTGCACTCTTTCATATTCCTTTTCACAGGACTGATTATGCTCGTAATTTTCCTCTGTCAAGAATGCTCAGCTCATGCAATGACCTCTTATTGGATCCTTTCTGCATAAACATTAATGCTTTTAAAAGGCAACTTAAGAATCTGACTATTAATCTAGATATGTGATACTTACTATGTGATACTGATACTTTTTTAGATTTTTGTGATATGATATATTGTTTTAATGTACAAATTTTAACTGTTTACTTGTTTCTTTCTTATTGTTTTGATGTTTATTGTACATGATCTTTACTTTTTATATAAATATATATAAATAAAAATAAATAAAATAATCAAGGATCCTAACCTCCTACCGGGAAGGCGAGTAATTTTTTCTCAGGATGTTATTTCCATACACCGATTTTCTTTCAAGACTTTAAAAGATCGTTCTTTTCTTTAATATTCTTTATCCTTTAAGACGATTGGGTAGAACCTTATCTGCTTCATCCATCGTTGATCTTTACCTTTAACCCCAGACAAGAGACAACTCTGGTCTTTTATAAAGGTATTACTCCTCTTTTTTCTGGCTTGGGACCGACTCTATCGATTGTTGAGCTACCCAGTTTACCTCACATCTAATATACTCAAAGTTTTGATAAGAGTTTGCTAAACTTGCTCAATATTTCTCTATATTTCTAGTATTTGTAGTGTTTCACCATAATATATGATGGGTTTTAGTTTGGAATGAACATGCCAACGCTTCTAAAAAGAAACATATTTATTTATTTCATCATAACAGTATAAAAATATAAACGTTGCACGGTGAAAATTGCGAATCTATAAAATTGTTAAGTGTCATATTTATGATTTGTCTCTTTAAACGATACTTATTTTACTGTTGTTCAAAGCACTTTAACTCGTTTAGGTTTTTATTTAAATAAAACGTTAGATTTTTTATTCTAAATTATTCTAAAACGTTTCAGTAACTGGTGACGATGAGCACTCGGAAGATTTAGAATACTTCTTGTATGAAGACAATGACGGCCATCTTCAAGTAGAGTATCTCCTAAATACTCGTCTGAACCTTACATCTTCCGCATCCGATGTAAAATACCTTTTTCTTCAGTAAATCCAACCCTGACAGTGGCGTTGAGATTCACAGCAACAATATCGAGAAATTGGACAAGACGTCATTTACACCAAAACGAGAAACTATTTTTGTCATCCATGGATGGAAGGGAAGCCATGAAGCAGATGTTAACTCACATGTCAGAGAATATATATTAAGGGACCATGATGTCAATATATTCGTCGTAGACTGGAGTCCAATTGCCGGAAAAAGTTACACAACAGCACAGGTAAAAAAAATTAATAAGTTTTTTTAAATGTGTAATAAAATATTCATGGTTACTATGAATAATATGAATATCCAATAATCTCTATGTTTGCTTATTCTAATATTATTCTTATATCAAAAAAGAGCATTTGATAGGTCTTAAATATGTAAATGCGCATGGGAAAATGAACATAAAGTTCAATGAACTTTATGAACATTCAAGACACAAATAAAAGAAAAAAGCAACTGTGATAACTAGATGGAAATTATCATAACAAATAAAAGAGTTTGAATCTTCTTCTTTAAAGTGCCCTCTCCTCATTGGAGGTTGGCTACTACAATTTTAAACTCTTCTCTATCTTCAGCTGTTCTTATTAGCTGTTCAAAATTTAGCCCTGTCCATTGTCGGATGTTTCTGAGCCATGATAGTCTTTTCCTTCCTAGGCCTCTCTTTCCCTCGATTTTTTCCTTTCACTATAAGTTGGGCATATTGGTACTTATTATTTCTCAGTATGTGGCCTAGGTATGATGTTTTTCTTACTTTTACTGTGTTAAAAAGTTCTCTTTCCTTGCCTATTCTATGCAGCACTTCTTCGTTTGAGGTATGCGATGTCCATGAAATTTTGGGTATTCTCCGGTAGATCCACATTTCAAAGGCCTCCAGTTCATTTACGGTTGATGTTTTAAGGGTCCACGTTTCAACTGCATATAGAAGAGTCGACCAGACGTAGCATTTTGATAAACGTAGTCGAATTTCGAGTTTTATTCGAGAATCACAAAGCAGTTTTTTTATTTTTTCGAAAGATTTTCTAGCCTGTTCTATTCTCGATCTTATTTCTTGATCAGGATTTAGGCTGCTATCGATCCAACATCCCAGGTACTTAAATCTATTGACCTGTTCTAAGATGTTGCCCATTTATTGTGCAAGGTTGAGGTACGTTTTGGTTTTTTCGGATTGACATCACTTTGGTTTTTTTTAATGTTTATTTTCATACCAAATTGCTCACAGGTCGAGTTGGTCTTGTCGATGAGTCGTTGTAGACCTGAGTCGGAATCCGCAATTAACACTGTATCATCGGCGTATCTGATACTGTTGATATTTACGCCATTACACCTTGACTCCATCCTTGGAATCCTCCAATGCTTCTTTAAATAGAAACTCGGAGTAAAGATTAAACAGCAGAGGCGACAGAACACATCCCTGTCTAACTCCCCTCCTAATTTCTACTTCTGCGGATGTGGAACCGTAGTTTGAAATCTACAGCAAGATATTAAAAATATAGTCAAAAATAAATATAGTCAAATTATAACAGAAGAACAAGGTGTTGTTAGTGTAGAAAAACCAGCAGCCCATTATCCAAATTAAAGAAAAATATTAGTACATAATCAAGACATCTATATACAATACGTTGACTTACGAAAAGCATTAGACAGCGTCCCATTACATACATTCTGGGAAACTCTACAAAACTCAAACATTAATATTGAATTATTAAAGGCCTTGAAATCATTCTCATATGTAATTATATTACAAATCAAAATAGAACACGATATAATAGCAGAATTTAACATAACAGTAGAATTTGACACAAAAAAAAGAACTAAAAGAAGGCATTACATTTAACGTTGATGGTGCCCCACGTTGTGCCCCAATTTTATGGTACCATTAACGGCCCTACTACATGTAGTGCTCCAATTGGGTAAAAAAAGTTCGTTGTACTTAACTGTTTAATGACGTTGACTATCTGATTTAGATGCCAGATCGTTCTTGTCTTAATATAAATATACAACGAGGAAACCAAATATGATAAATATAAAATTAATATATAATTAAATTACCACATTTATTAAGATACAAGCATCAAATAACACTTACTGTGCTTTGTATGTCAAATGGATTTGATACTCGATTCTTTCGGATTACATGGGACTGCCACTGTGTTACTACATACTAAATGGTACTGCTACTGTACCTGCATGTTAAAAATGTCATTTATCTTTCATTCATTACCTGTCAGATTACATACTGCTAAATAATATTAAAAATAAATTATTAATTTTGATTAATATGAACAACTAATGTATAAGTATCTTTTCTAGGGTTCAGTAAAACAGGTTGGAGAGTACGTAGCAGCTTTCGCTAGATCCCTACATGAAGAATATAGATTACAACTTGATAAGTTGAAATTTGTAGGCCATTCCCTTGGAGCTCATATCTGTGGAAATGCTGGAGCTGCTTTAAACGGCCAGGTTGACAGAATTGTTGGTAAGATAAGATTAGTTTTTAGACATTATTCGGACACTAGACACTAAAACAATATGTTTTAAAGTGTGAGAATATCTAACTTAAATACAGTAAAACTTGTATGAACGACCACCAGTTAAAAAGCGGCCACCTGTACTAACGGTTAGTTTAAATTTTTTCCAAACCGATTATATGTAGATTTATATCTATTTTTTTATGAAAACAGGAATGAAAGAACCTGTAAAATTAGGGTTGCTTCGTTCTGATTCCTCGATATTTTCTTGTTCGTACTCCGAGTTTTCTTAAGTTGCTATAATAATATGTCTCAAAAGAGGATAAGTTTAATGTTAATAGACAAAATAAATATATTCGTCGAAAGTGAAAAGTATGGTTTAAGTTTGCAAAATTTGCCAAAAAAATGTGGAGTTGGAAAAACTCAAATTACCGATATTATAGAAAATGAAAGGTAAAGGAGAGGTAAAAAATAATTTTAAGGAAGGTGTTACCTTGGAGCTAAAACGAAAGTTTCCGAAGTCAGAAGGACTGGCAGTGGACAAGTCGTTTACAATTGGTTTTGCAAAGCAAGAAATATAGCAATTCCAATATGTGAAACGGTACTTAAAGAAAAAGTAGTCGAGAGAGCAAGCAGTTTGAAGATAAAACATTTTGCAGTATCAAATGAATGATTAAAAAGTTTGTATCAATTTGAACAACATAGAAGACTCGAAAATCAAGTATCCATTGATATTAAAGAATTATTCTTCACGAGATGTATACAATGCTAACGAAACAGATCTTTATTACTGAACTATGCCTCTTTAATTTGCATTAAAAACTGAAAAATTTGCAGGGAAGAAGGCAGCAAAACGTTTAGCAAAAGGTCCATTAGTAATTGAAAAAAGTAAACACTCCTGCTGTTTTAAAGTTATTTATATTGACAAATTACCTTTGGAATGAGTTTGCTACAAAAGGGTTTAAATGATAACAGAAATTATGACAAGATGGCTGCTTAAATTTGACAATAAAATGATTATACATTTCAATTAAAAAATGATAAAATAGTCATTGTGTCATCCAACACCACTTCACGTTTCCAGCCCTTAGATTAAGGAGTAATTTAGAATTTCAAATTAATTTACCAACATTTTTTCGTCGAAAGACTTCTAGCCGGTATTGACACTGGATGTGATGTCAAGAATTGTTAAAAAAACATAAATTTATCCAATGCACTTATCTGGATTACTGCTTCAAAAAATATCTCTTGCTACAGTTAAGAAATGTTTTTCTAAAGCCTGCTTCTCTGATGCTATCCAAGAAGATCCATGTTTTGCTCAACATGACAATATACCTCTTGCCCATCTTTACATACAGTGTGTAAAGAAATTTTAGATTTGGTTGAATTAACTTCCATTGGTAGTGATATACCTACAGACAGCCCTAACTTTATAGCTATAAAACTATTAGATAAAGATGATAAATATTATTCTAACAATAGTGATGTGGATAAATGTGAAACTCCAAAATCCGCTTTATCTTATATGAGTGAAGTGTGTGGAAATTTTAAGACTTAGAAAATTATTTATTTTTCAAAAATTTTTTTGAAATTTTTACGTATGTGTCCCGTATTTTGGAGAAAAATCTTTGACCAATGTGTATTGCCTGTACTCAGTTACAGAGTGAAAAAGATTCACGTAACTCAGCGGTGCTATGGGGCGCCTATTCTTGGGTGTCTCTCTGATAGACCGAATCTCAAACGAAGAAATAAAGCAAGAGAAGAAGCACTAAGAAGCAGAGGACGCTCATCAATTCGATAGACTGACGACCTGAAGCGTGTTAGCAACTGTATACAAGCCGCACAAAAATCTAACAGATAGAAAGAGCTGAGGAAGACAATAACCGGATACAAGCCGCACTAAAAAGAGACAGATAAAAAGAGATGAGGGAGACATATCTCCAGCAGTAGACGCATACAGGTTGATGATGATGATGATGATTGTCTATTATTATTATGTTTTGAAGGAAGCCTTAATTGAACTAATAAGAAAACTCTTATGTGTGTTAGAGGTCACAGAAATTTTTGTTTTGATTTATCTGCCCGTTGTTCTATATACATCTTTAATGTAAATACTATTTAAAAAGCATGCACACAATATCATTTTAACTTTTGTGGTCAAAGTTAACTCTAAAACTAGTATTTTAATAATTTCAGTTATCCTATGATAAAATATTAAAGCTTTCAGCAATATGTATTTAATATAAAATATTATTAAATAATATAAAATTAATATATATAAAATTAATATAAAAAATAAATCAGCTTAGGTTATCTCTTACTTATCTTAAACTTATCTTTTCTCGTGGCTTCCAGTATCTCTTAGTTGTTCCTTCTCGGGATAAAATAGGCAAAGGAAAATCAGAAATAACATAAATAAACAAATACAAATATGTTTTATTATCAAAAGAAATAATACGAAAATTTATCAAATAAATTCCATGGGCTTAACTGTTCCTATGAAAATTGTACCACATAAATAATTTTAATTTATCAAATATTTATTAGTTTGTTTTTTATGACATTAATAAAACAACATAAACAAGAAATTTTAATATTCGTAAATTAATTACACTTTCTATGAAAATTTTGAAATATTGGAATCTTTATTCATATGTTTTTGTACTCAAAAAAAATCTGAATATTATAAAAAGAAACTTTAAATTTATTAAGCAATATTAATAATTATTATCCTTTGACGTTAAAAAAACTACGATTTTTGCAATGTGAATCAGAAAACTTTAATTAATTTTTTTTAATTTTATAAAATTTATGGTATTTTAAATTAGCGATAATTTTTGGTCTTCAGATGGTATAGAGAGTTTTATTTGAAACATACAAAAAAAATTCTGTCACAAAATTATTGACTAACTTTTTAGTTTACATACGACGATGTCTCCTTTCGACCAGAACAGCTCCCCCTTGTTGATTATGTTAGGCTACCAATCAAAGCCTTCTTCGTTTTAAGTATCAACCTATCAGCATACCAGCAACTCTTTCTCCAAAAACACGAGCAGGCCTCTTTTACAATTACTCGTTCAACAAACCTTAAAATTCTCTCCTCTCTTATATATATTATCAATCTCCTGAGACCCAAGTAATATTTTTATTTACTTGCTGTCGCAAGCAAATATTTTAAATAGGTATAGTTCTTGTGACTTACATATTATATTGAACTTTATGGAATCAAGGAGATATTCGACTTCTCAACTTTGACCTCTCTCGTTTCACCTTTCAGCCACCCACTTCTAACTATTAACACGACTAGCACTTGCTTCTTAACTAACTACAGAAAACTTAAACTGCTTCTTTCGGATGACCATCACATAATAATCTTTTCTACGCCAAAACTTTCAAAAAAAATTTACTCTCTTTCATACCCATTACAAACTCGCTAACCAAACAGAAAATTCCTATATCCCTCCTCTTATGTTACATCAAAAAAACCTAAGCATCGCTTCTACAGAACTTTCCTTCAAAAATGATAACGGTTTTATCTTATACTTTCTAAATACAATAACTACCTGGTAGCTTTGGCCTTTTCAGCGAAACAAAACCAAAGGCTTTTAAAATATAATATGTATCTACAAATGATGGATAGACCAAATTACAGGAATATGCCAAAGACCTATGCATGAATTAAAAGAAATGACCAGAGACAGAGATCTCTAGAGACGGACAATACACGACATCACGTCGACCACTACACTCCCACTGGGGGGTCAGGATTGAAGAGAGAGATCTACAAATACCGGAAAACATATTGACATTTAAAGTTTATGTTTTTCAGTCCTTCAGGGTAAAACTCATCATGGATAAACCCACTGCTCTAAATCACTTATAACAAATATTTAAAAATCGATGTTCAGGGCGTTGCAAATTTATGTGCCCGCGTTCTATAACAGACTAAAATTTTTATTCTATCTTTGATTGATAAAATGAAATACAACAGCATTTTATATTTTAGTTTACTGTTTGTGTTCTAGACATTAGCAATTTTGAATTTTAGCCAGACCACTAGCTTTTTTCCTATATTTGCTTATAAGGAAGCATTTTTTAAGCAGTATTTTAGCACGCTTATACAATGAGTAGAAAAATTGATATAGTAACATCAATGTTGAAGGACTAAACTATTTACTAGTAAACTATTTACAACAACAATAAGACCAACTGAATTAAGAGAAATTTTTAATTGAGGAAAATGACAACAATTAAAGCATTTCATGCATTATTGTAGGTTATTATTCTAGGCATTATTATAGCAGAGTCAAGCTTAAGATATAAAGTAATCCAGGTTTTTATTATTAAGTTCATGTATTATAAAAAATGCTAAAATTAAATGTACAATGCCGTATTAAAACAAAAATTAAATAAATATAATATTTTTCAGGTTTAGATCCAGCTGGTCCTCTATTTAAAGATTACAACAAAGACAACCGTATAGACGAAGACGACGCAGTAAATGTCCAAATCATCCACACCAATGGAGGACTGCTGGGGTATTATGCTCCATGTGGAGATTCTGACTTCTATCCTAATGGAGGAAAATCGCAACCAGGTTGTGGAATTGACATAGCAGGAAGCTGTGCTCACTCTCGGTCATACGAACTATACGCTGAATCGCTTACTAGCACAGCTTTTGTTGGACAACGGTGCGATAGCTATTCAGACTACGAAAAGGGTAAATGTCACGGATCAAAAACTAGCATGGGAATGTTCCAAATTGATAAACAGTAAGCATATATGTTATAATTACATACGTGTAATATCAGCTAACTATCAATAATCAATTAGCTATTAGCAATTAGCAGTTACAAGCTCTGTGTAATCAATTAGCTCATGGCGTGAGAAAATCACTCTTTTACATCAAGCACATTTATATTTAAACAATCACAGCTTTAAAATTTTTAACTATTTTTTTTTTTTATTTGTTTCAGTGCCTCTGGTTCCTACTACCTTCACACCAACAAAAAATCTCCATATGCTCAAGGTTAAAAGTATTTATTGTAAAAAAGAATTATTTAATCAATAAAGTTTAATGTAAATGCTTGGTTTTTATTTTTATTATAATGCTAATATTTTTCTACTTTCTACTACTGCCGGTCCCTGGTTCATGCTTTCATTTCTGTCATGTTTTGCCTTTTTTCTGTCTATTTGATACTTATTACATATTTATAGACTACAAAGCAGCTACAAAGCAGAAATAACAAATCAGTTGGTAAATTTAACAAAACTGATTCTTGAAAAAGTTGAATGTGGAGTACGAATTCAGAGGGAAACTGTCTGAACCTTTTAAAGCCAATATCGGGCTGCGCCAAGGAGACCCTCTCTCCTGTATACTGTTCAATCAAGAGTTGACATTTCATTAGCGCCCATCTTCGATGCGCTTTCTACGAGAACAATGGAGGTGAAGTTTCTCCAAATATTCTAGTATATAATAACTTGTCTTGCTAAGTAGCTCAGATATTTGTTAAGTTAGTTGATAATATATTATTGTGCTGTAAACTTATAAATAAATATATCTACATAAATTAGAACCACTCTTTTTAATTAAAACGGTACAGTATGTCACAAATAACAACCACTGGTTCAATATATAATAAATCATTGCAAATTCTGGCCTATGCTGATATTATCAATATTATTAGGAGAACGGAAAACGATGTACGAGAGGTGTATGTAGCAATAAAAGAATCGACTACAAAAATATGTTTAATAATGAACACCAGCAAAACAAAGTATATGAAAATAAGCACGCAACCACAAATCTTACGACTAATTGTTATAGAAAACGACGTCATCGAAGCATAGTGAACGAATTTGTTTACCTGAGAGCGCCGCTTAACACTAAAAATAATATTACCGCAGAGTAAAACCGCAGAATTAGCACGGCCAAGAGATGCTATTTTGGGCCCAATCTGCTCCTTAAATCCACAATTATATCAAGAAATACAAAGATTAAACTCTACAAAACAATAATACGCCTAGTCCTAACATATGGTTCAGAGACCTGAAATCTAACAAAAAAATAATGAAAACATGCTAGAATGTTTCAAACAAAAGTACTTAGAGGAATCTATGGAGCTGTAAATGACAATGGAGTGTAGAGAAGACGATACAACTCGATATTATAGACATCCAGAATATAAAACACATTAAGATAGGACGTCTGAGGTGGATAGGGTATGTAATACGGATGGAACAAAATCTTAGCTAGAAAAACGGTCCTTGATAGACCATTGGTCAGAGAAGAAGAGGAAGACCCAAAATAAGGTTACTTCTTAACATTGATGAAGAGATGAGAAATATGGGAATACGTTTTTATGGAAATACGCGGAGAGAGGCGATGGATAGAGACGACTTTATAGAAATTCTTGAGGAGGCTAGTACCCACGCAGGGTTGGAAACCAGAAAATTGTTGATGATGATCCTGTCTATTTTAAGTATTTATTGGATCATGTTTTTCTTGGTCTTACTTTTTTTTTGCTTCTTATTTTTTTGCTTCGTGAACGCTTTTGACCAGTCTACTATGTTAAATTATATATGTTAATATGTCCGTACCAATTTAGCTTAACCACTTCACATGAAATAATGATTGGCAGGGATATACAAACCCATGAACTAAAGAAAAAAATCGGTCTTGGTGTGGCAGCATATGAAAAACTGAGAGAAACTTTTAAAAGTGAGCTGCCACATGCCTGAATAAAAATGTGTGATATTTGATCAATGCGTGATCTCAGTGGTTACATACGGTATAGAAACACTTTAACAAATGCCTTAGCTAACAAACTCAAAGCTACACAGAAGAGAATAAAGCGATCCATGTTTCGAATAACATGAGACAAAAGAAAAAAGTTGCGAAGTCAGGAAAAAGCCAAGGTAACTGACGTCATCAAAATTATAGCCAGGATGATGATGATGACTCCATCGTATTGTCCAGTTTCTACCAAATTCTACCAAATTTTGTTATTCCTGCTAATCTTCTGAGGTATTTCATCTTTGCTGCATTTACTTTCGTGCTTAGGTTGTCTTATCTATGTTTCACTTGAGTATAGTGTTACTGGTTTGTCTATAGTTTTATATACCTATAATTTCGTATTTTTTGCTATTCTGTTTTCCTTAGTATGGTTTTATTTATGTCATTATATATTTTGTTCTATTTTGTATCTCAACATAAATTTTTTCATCATTTGTTATCTGCAAAATAAATAAAAGTTCACATTTTGTCCTTTAAGTAGCCATTACATGAACAAATTTTTATTAAAGAAATGAAATTAATTAACAAAATTAAAGTGATAAAGACACCCATAATAAAGAATTAAATCAACACAAATCACGCTATTCGTCTTCTTGCACAACGCATTATTGGCATAAAACTGTAGTTTTTATCGTATGTTTACAATAGGCTTGGCGCACACATCACACTGGTAATTTGTAAATCTATTTTTTCGCATTGTTCAAAAAGAGCATAGGTTTTTGCTAATTATCAATTCTTGCCTTGTTGGCTTGTTCATTGGAGATTCTTCACGACTAACAATATTTCAATTTTTTTCCTTCAGAATGATTAAAAAATATGGAATTCTAACACGCTTTAGTAAATGGACTTAGCAGGTTGTTTTGGTAACTCTGTATGTAACTTTCTTTGAGGAACATTATTCCTCCGGTATTGCTGTATAAATAATCCTGGAATTGGTATCTATGATTGTTTAGCATTGTTGATCATAAGCTATCTACTTCTACTGAGCTCTTTGCAAGGTTATAAAATGTAATAATAGAAGGCTTTTGTTCGTCATGAGATTTAATTTCTATTTCGTCATCATTGTGAAATGTCGATAACATCAAAACATTTATACCACGCCTGATATAATATGGTCTGTTCGACGTAAGCATAATATACCGAAACAGTACTTTTAGATGTACCATTTTTTGTAACTAAAAATAAATTAGTCTAAGATATAAAAGATTATCTTCTTTTATTTTTATCTGCCTTGTTGCCTTATGATCTAATCGAATAGCTTGTACTAGCAAGTCAAACTGGCTCTTGGATATCATAATCCAGCCTTTATTTATTGTGTCCACTGCTGGACTTGGGTCTCCCTTAAATTACTACTCCATTATTTACGAAGTTGTGCTCTTTGTTGCCAATTTTTGATGATACGCTGATGTGGTCAGCCTAACGTGTAGGTGGTCTTTCTCTACTACATTTGTCTGCTCCAATTTTAACTTTGCTCGTCCATCGTAAGTCGTACATTCTCGCTACGTGGCCTGCCCAGTTCCATTTAAGTTTTGCTATGCATTTCACATCAGCAATACTCGGTCCTTCTTCACAGATCTTCGCTTCTTCTTCGGTCCCGCAATGTCACTCCCAACATAGACCGTTTCATCCAAGTTATAGTCTTGGTTAGAGTCATAGTTTCCGTCCGTATATGACATGACCAGTAATACGCATTGGTCAACTACTTTTCTTTTGAGGGTAGTTGGTATGTTGGCCTTAAGTGTGTCTCGCAGTTTTCCGGCCCACGCTAAAGTAATTCGTCTGTGGATTTCCCATGTTTGTTTATCCCTGCTGATTCTTATTTCATGATCAAAATACGTATAGTTCTCCACCAGTTCGACCACTTTGTCTTGAATAGTTAAATGGTTATTGGGGACCATATCGTCGTGGTACTTGCAATAGGTCCTACGTCAAAAAAACACACTTTTTGGTTTATGAGACATGCATGACCGATTCAGTCAAATACACAACTCCAATAAGTCATATATCGATGGGCCAATAAGAAAGATGGGTCGTGACTTTATTTAAGTAAATAAAATTTCGGATGAATTGATGAAGAATTGGAAAGATGGGAAGTTTTTTGTCCTACCTAAAAAGTTACATGAAAATGATATACGGCCTATTGCAGGTACCACGACGTATTTGTCATAAACTTAGTTTTGGTCAAGTTCATTCTAAGGTCCACCTTTAAACAAGCAAAATCCAATTAATTTAACATATCTGTGGCTTCTTCCTAAATTATCTGTGATAAGGACAATGTCATCTGCGAAACAGAGATGGTTAAGCTTTTTGCCGTTTATTGTTACTCTTCCCAATTGACCATCTTAAAGGCATACTCTAATGCCGTCATGAATAATTTCAGTGCATCTTCTTCTTGCCTTATCCGACGTTTTATTTTAATTGGTCGGGTTTTATCGTATATTTTAACAGTCATAGTGGCATTTTTGTAAATATTGTAAATAAGTTCACTATACCTATGATCAATCCTACTTTCATTCATTGCTTCCATCAGGCAGCTGTCTATTTCGATCGTGTCGAACGCTTTACGCAAATCTATGAAAGTAATGACAAGAGGTTTGTTGTATTATATAAATTTTTTAATGAGTGTCCTTATGACACTCATATATGACACAAATAAAACATGATACTTACAAATATAAAATAATCTTATTACTATCTTATTACTTGATACTTACCAATATAAAACCATACAAAACTGTAAAATGCAGTGTAAAATGCAAAGGGCACATTATTTTACGTTAAACTATTACAAAAGATATTTATTTACAGACGCATTTAACTAAAATTAAACTTTTTATTTTTCTGCTATAAACAAACGACAATTTATAGTTTATTCGTCTTCAGGTTTGGACCGTGTCATTTGTGAGTGACCCAAGAGATGAACCACTTTTGGGTCACTCACAAATGACACGGTCCAAACCCGGAAGACGAATAAACTATAATTCTGACTCTGGCCGTGGAAGCCTACGATTTCATTAAACGAAAATTTACGTGAAGCGCGTTTATTTTTATACAAATCTTGACAGGTACCTTCTGTCAGGTATGGAGACCAAGTACGAAGTTTTGTGCCGCTGGTATAGCTATCCTGCGTGAGAACCGAGAGACAAGTCGCCGAAAATCGCTTCAATACAACATTTTATAGGAAAAAGGGACCCACCAAATTCAACTGTTTTTAACGAATTTTAACGCTTCAACGGTGGGCTGTAGTAAGCCACTTTTTCTATACATTTACAAGAAAACGCATAATAATAAAACGTGAGAAGAGGAGAATCGGCAGTGACATAATATCAAAGCGTGTTCAGATAACAAAAGAAACAACCTGATTTAGCAGGCGTCACAACGGAAAAGGGGCCAGACAAAAAACTCGTTTTATTTGGCTGAGATATATCGAAAATAAATACAATATATTTTCGACTTTTATTAATAATTGTAACAAAAGTAATGAGGAATTATTAGAATTATTATGTATTAAGAGTTAATACAGTATTTTCAAAATTGTCAAAAATTTTCGTGTAATAATAAAACCTTCTACTTTTGATAATAAAATCCACGGTCTGTTAAATTATCTAATTTACTAATGAAGAAGAACAACTTCGTAATTCAGTTATGTTGGTGTCATGCATTTCAAACGTCCTAGCTTAGTAGCCGATCTAAATATATCACTAGTATATTGCAGAATAATATTCGAAAAGAATAAAAAGTTCTTGCACCACCGAAAAAATTAGGTATTTAAGCGAACCATTTTATAAACAATCAGTTTACTAGTTTGAAAGAAGGCAGATATCAGTAGCTTGAAAGACAATGATGGATACGAAATTTAAAAGAATATGTTGGCTATACCACAAATTGACTATTTAAATTAACAATTAAGATTTACGATAATCTTAATAAAGTTCACAAAAACAAGAGCAATACGTAAGAATATACATCAGTCACTATTGCAATTTTTTATATATTTGATTAATTGAATAAAGTATTTGAAAACAAATCTGATTTATTACCGATTATTGAATTGATGATTTACGAAGTTTAATATTTTTTAACTAATTTTTTATGTATTTGATATTAACAATTGAATAAAGTATGTGGAAGCAAATTTGATTCATTACCTATTATTAATTTGAAGATTTACGATGTTTTAGGTAATAATTTAATTAAAACATGCAACTTTTACGATAAGAAGTATTTATAAACAACTGTGGTAATTTTGCAAACTCTAGAAGTCACCAACATGAAAAATTGCAAGATTTATGTAATTTTATTCTTACTAGGAGCGTGCCATTCATGTAAGTTATTCTTATTATTGACACTTAATTCACATTTGTTTAACATAAAAAAATTAGGTTTTTATTTTGCTAGAATAAGCTATGGTTATTAAAACATCTGCATAAACTATATTACGCCAAGCATAATTCTAGCCTCATAATAAGCCTATTTCTTTATTTTCATGGATGTTATTAAGGAACCTGGGTCTTACTTTTCATCTCTGATCAATGGCCAATGGGTCTATCAAGTTATTTTGTTCCATCCGAAATACACGTCCTACCCAACTGAGAGTCTGATCCTAATATATTTTACAATATCTGGTACCTGATATATTCTATAAAGTTTGAAGTTGTATCGTCATAATAAACTTAACACTCCATGTGATTTACCGCCATAGACCGACTAGTACTTTTCTTTCGAAATATCCTAACATGATTTTAGAATTAAGGTATATAAACCATATGATAGAATAGGGAGTATGATTGTTTTGTTAAGGTTTAAATTAAATATTTCTTGATATAATTGAGGATTTAAGAAGGAGATTCAGCCCAAAATAGCACCTGCTGACCGAGCAGGATATTTTTAGTGTTGACTAGCGCTCCCAGGTACCTATACAAATTTCTCTACTGCTTCGATGATGTCGTTCTCTATAACAAGTGGTCGTAGGATTTCTATTTGTCTTGTTGGTATTTATTATTAAACTCATTCCGTTAGTGCCATATAAACCCCTCAACAACAATAGTTTCTTCCAACAATATCGATATCATCAGCATAGGCAAGGATTTGCACTGATTTGTTATATATTGAATCAGTAGTTTTCTATCTGTGACATATGTAATACTTCTTCCAGAGCCTGATTGAACAGTATATAGGAGAGAGGATCTACAATTTGTATTTTTTTTTAAAGGTTAAGACAGTTTCCTTCCCCTAAGTTTGTACTCTGCATTGAACTTTTTCAAGAGTTTTACATCCCAAAAAACTTATAAAATACTTACACTTTGGCCAATTTCTAGACATCGACCTATTTTAAAGCCAAAGAACAGATCTACACCATTCTTTAGCCTCTTGTTTTGATTAAGAATCGTGGTGAAAGACCCAAGTCTCATCCATAGTGGTAAATTGATGCACAAAATTCCCTTTAATTGTTCTAAAACGCTCTTAATGCTGAAAAAGTCGATTCGAATATATTTTGTTCCATTGTTAGCGAATGTGGCACTCATTGTGAAAATAGCTTTTTAAAACACAATCTTCTTTCCTGTTGTTTCCCATTACTGAGAATCGTAATTTCTTCCAATATCCCTAACAATTTTTTTCACAGTTCTCTATCTTCAGCTACTCTAAGAGCTTCGCAGAAACAATTGATCTCTGCAAACTATTGCAGAATACGTTGCAGTCATATTGTGGACAGCCTTTTTGTTAATCTCAAGTTGGTTTGAAATGAAAATGTTTATCCTATGAGCTGTCCAAGGTATGCGCAACAATCTTCTTCAGCACCACATCTCAAAGTCATCAATTTTTGGCGCTCGCGTTCGAGAAGAGTCCAAGTCTCTGCCCTGTATAGAAATATTAGGAATACAAGGGCATTCACCAGTCTCATCTTGATATTTATACAATATTTATACACCGGTATTTAGGCGGTATGCGGTAGGGGTCTATGAGGAGTATCACCAAGCCGCAAACCCTTATCTCTTGCCGTACTACTCCACCATAAGCCGGTCAGACACCAGCATATTCTAGTCTAAGCCGCAGATTTATCTCAAATTTTAAACTGCTCCGTTAGCCTTTTTGTTTTCTGTACACAGAGCTCGGGATCGAACCCATATCCACTAAACCACACGCAGTGAAGCGAATGAGAACCAGCCGCTCAGCCCGCTTGGCTATCTGACCGACCGAAAATATTGCTTAAGCTGCCCTATTGCTTAAATTATTGCTTAAGTGATTTATTCTACAATTTCTGGCATAGTTGCTATTTTTGGACGTATTTGATGTGGCTCGTCTTTAAGGCTTGTATGATCACGTTTAAACTCAACAATTCATCTCTATATTGTACTAATTGAAGCCAAGGGGTCTTTATACACTTTCAACATTCGTTAATAAATGTAATTCGTAAATAAATTTCTTTTGTTTTAAAATCATCTAAACATTAAAACTTAGTCACTGCACGATACTTGATTTTTCCCATTGTAAAAAAATACTATGATCTGTTAATACTAAATACCTTGTTAACCAAGAACGAATAGATTGATGTTTATAGGGTAAAAGTTTATATGAAAAGATTAATTAATATAACAAAAAAATTACAATAGTTGCCAAGTTTTCCTCTATCGAACCGCAAAATTTATTGAACAGTCACTGCACAAACATTTAAAACAATATTGTTAGCTTACATTTAACTTGTACTTTCAACTACTATGTACATACATATAATATTCTCTACATATTCGAACTTAGTTCCTTGACATCATGGTACACTTACCTCTTTTATATCAAAATGAACTGAGTACGAGATCAACTTGCATATCAGACTTCATCATCATCATCTTTGACTCGACAATCCTCTGTTGATCTGGGCCTGATCTAAGAGTAGTTGCCATTCTGTTCGATTTCTGGTAACGTGTTGTCATATTCTGATTTTTATTATCCCTACGTCGGTCTCAACTCCATCTAACCACTTAATTCGCTGCCTGCATTTGCTTATTCTTCCTATAGGAGTTCCTGCATTTCTTAGTTGTACAAATTAATTTAAAAAATATGTTACTTAGTCTACAGGCCCCGTTAATTGCTTTACCATGAACTGCTGTTCTTTCTGGTCTTGCGGACAACCACTTGACCGTCCGCGAAAGTTTGTTTTTTCGTTTAATGGTATATCCAACATTATCTTCTTTGTTTCATCAGTGCCACATTCAGGTAGATTTTGAAGCGTGTTGTAGATATACTGCAAGCTTGCCTTTCTTATCTACTCAAAATGGTTTATGTTTATACTGTAACTCTACTTGTTCTGGGTGCTCAGGTGAACGGTGCAATAATAGTCCACCAATAATTGAAGAAAATGAGGATGACATAGATCACGATGAAGATGTAATTGATGACGAATAAAATTAATATTATAATTGTTTTACCTATAAATGTAAATATTTTCAACTATTTATGTAAATGTATAAGAATATATGGTGCCTTTTTATGTTGATAAATTTTTTTGTGTTTAAGTAATTCTACTTTTTTCAATTTATATCCATTAAATTAGTTTATAAAAACTGCAATGTTGTAAAGGGTGATTTTCAAAAGTTGAAAAGTTGCAAAATTTTGGCAAAATATTGTTTTCACCTATAGCACTCATAACAATTGATTTTAAGGGTTGAAAATGTATGAAATTGTATTTTAAAGTATAAAAAAATCAATATTTAACTAATCCAAACCAAATTTCACTCATCTTAAGATTTGTAATGTTATTTTACAATTTTTGAAAATTAGGGGTAGTTTTCACCCCTAAGAATAATCAGGGTTCATCGGCATGTCATAAACTATAAAGCAGAGGGTGAGTTGAGCTTAATTCCAAATTTTTATGCAAATCGTTCCAAGGCGAAATAATTTTCTTCGCATTACTACCTTTTTAACATTAATCTCTAACAAGGGTCGCTTTTTAAGGGTTGAAATATAATGAAACTTCATTCAAAAGCACGAAACTATCATTATTTAATTAATTCAAACCAAATTTTACCCATATTCAGGTTTAATATGTTATTTTATAATTTTTGACAATTAGGGGTAGTTTTCACCCCTAAGAACAATCAGGGTTCGTCGACATGACATAAACTATAAAGCAGTGGGTGAATTGAGCTTAAATCCAAATTTTTATCCAAATCGATCCAAGGCGAAATAATTTTTTTAGAATTAGTAATTTTTTTACATTAATTTTTAAAAGGGTTGCTTTTGAAGGGTTGAAATATGATGGAACTCTATTCAAAGTATAAAATAATTATTATTTAACTAATTCAAACGAAATCTTACCCATATTCAAGTTTAATATGTTATTTTATAATTTTTGACAATTAGGGGTAGTTTTCACCCCGAAAACCCTTCAACGCACTTCAGTTCGATATAGATTTTAATCCTTGGGCTATCACCTACCTTCTGTTAAAATTTCAACTCAATCCATGCAGGACGAAAAACTTGCAAAGTTTTAACTTTTTTCGAGCTTCATTTCCTGAACTATTATCGCTTCCTTTGCACAAACAACATTGTTGCGAGAGAGATAGTTGAACGATATTTTATACAATGTCTATATCCAGGTATGGATTTATTTTTGTCCAAGTTTTATATTATTCCACTATTTCAAATGCAGTTCAAACAGACATATATTAAATTGTATGATCCGTTTTAAATTCGTTCAATCTGTATAAACGTTGCACAATAAAAATTGTGCATCTTCAAAATGTAAGCATTGTTTTCATTATTTGTTATTTTAACCAATACTTATTTTATTGTTATTGTAAGATACTTGAACTTTTTTGCGCTTTTATTTGAATAAAATGTCAAATTTATTACTCTAAAATATTTCAGTACCTGATGACGATCTAGAAGATGACTCCGAAGATTTAGAATACTTCTTGTACGAAGACAAGGACGGTCAAATTCAAGTAGAGTATCTCGTACATACTAGTCTAAACCTCACATGTTCCCCATCCGATGTAAAATACCTTTTCTTCAGTAGATCAAACCCCGATAGAGGCATAGAGATTCATAGCAACAATATTCATAAATTGGAGAGGACATCATTTACACCAAACCGAGAAACTGTTTTTATCATCCATGGATGGAAGGGAAGCCATGAAGCAGATCATAACTACCATATCAGAGAATATACATTAAACCGGCATGATGTCAATGTATTTGTTGTCGATTGGAGTCCAATTGCCGGAAAACTTTACGTAATTGCAAAGGTAAATAAATAAAGAAAATGTTCTTTAAAGTATTTGATAAAATATCCATAATCAGTATAACTAATGTGTAGAAACGAATTTCTTTTTTAAACAATGGTACAACAAAGGAAATTGAAAATAAACAGGGACATAAAATTACTACATATTGATAATATATAATGATTAGATTTAATTTACGATAAGGTATATTTCCTTCAAAATTTGCAAACGTCTCTTATATTACCGATACCGAACATAATTTTTATTTACTACAAATGTGATAACTATTTTCATATTAGTTTCTTCTTCGCGTGCCATATCAGAATTATCCGACGTTGGCGATCACCATTGCGAAGGCTTTTCGATCTTCTGCAATATGGAATAATTGTCCTACATTTGGTATCAGAGTCCATTCACGAATGTTTTTTAACCAAGAAACTTGTTTTCTTCCTACATCTCTATCTTCTTCTTCTTCATGTGCCTTATCCGTTCCGAACGTTGGCAATCAACATGGCTATTCTGACTTTGTTTACGGCAGATCTGAATAGTTCAGCAGATGACAATCCGAACCATTGCCGCAAGTTTTGGAGCCACGAGTGTCTTCTCCTCCCTGGACCACTTCTGCTGTCTATTTTTCCTTGAACGATCAGCTGTAGTACTCTATATTTATTATGTCTCATAACGTGACCCAAGTATTTCAACTTTCTTTTCTTTATACTTGTTCCTACCTCTCTCTCTTTACCTATCCGGCGCAGTACCTCTTCTTTGGTCACGTGCTTAGTCCAGGATATACGTAATATACGTCGGTAAGTCCACATTTCGAAGGCCTCTACTTTTTTCATGAATGTTGCGGCCATTGTCTACGCCTCCATTCCATATAACAAAACCGGGAATACATGACATTTCAGAAGTCGAATTTTGAGAGGTAGGGTGAGGCTTTTAGAGGTGAAAATTTGCTTCATGCTAGTGAACGATGCTCTTGCCTTTTCTACTCATTTACTCATTGTTGGGTTTTGCTTACTAACATCAATTTGGTTTTTGTGATATTTAGTCTGAGTCCGTATTCTGCACTTGTTTTTTGTATCTTACTCATTAGGCAACTCAGTTCCTCCATGCTACTTGCTAGAATCACAGTGTCATCAGCATACCTTAGGTTATTATTTATTTCTCCATTTATCTTTATGCCCTCTGTGCTTTCCTCCAGCGCTGTCTTAAATACTTCTTCTGAGTATATATTAAAGAGAATAGGAGACAAAATACAGCCTTTTCGTACCCCTTTCTTGATCTCAATTTTATTGGTCAATGTAGATCCTACTTTCAGTTTAGGTGTTTGACCCCAATAGAGACTCGCTATTGTTCGAATGTCTCTGTAGTCGACTTCGATCTTATGGAGAACTTCAATTATCTTTTCGTGCTTTACGTTATCGAATGCTTTTGCGTAGTCTATAAAGCATATGTATACGTCTTTGTTCATATCTCTGCAGCGCTGGATGAGTACCTGTAGACTAAAAGTGCTTCTCTTGTCCCAAGAGAATTCCGAAACCCAAACTGCGAATCTGCAATGTTATCCTCGCATTTTTTGCTTATTCTGTTGTAAATAACCTTGGTGTGTGCCTTCGAAATGTGGTTAATTAGACTTATCATCCGGTGTTGATCACAAGACTTTGCTTTTGGTTTTTTTTAGTATGGCAACAAAAGTTAACTCTAGCCAGTCTTCAGGATACTCCCCGCTGTTATAAATATTGTTAAAGAGTGTGACGTGTGAGTCTAGAAATTGACAGTTTGTTTCTCACAGCATTTTCAATACTTCCCCGTATACGTTATCGTTGCCTGGTCTTTTGTTATTTTTAAGACCTTTTATAGCATTCTCCACTTCTGATTTTAAAATAGAAGGGTCAGTATCATCATTGCTCATTGTATACCCACTAGGACGGTCATCATTAAACAGTTGTTTAATGTACACCTCTATGGCCTTCTATTTTGCCTTTAAGGATCAGGCCTTCTATGGCCTTCTATTTTGCCTTTAAGGATCAGCTGTAAAATTTTATATCGACTTTCCCTTACTATATGTCCCAGATACGACATTTTTCGATATTTAACAGTCTTTAGCAGTTCTCTGTCTTTGTTCAGGCTCCTTAGCACTTCTTCATTAGTTTTTCTTGCTGTCCAAGGTATCTTCAGCATTCGTCTATAAACACACATTTCCAATACTTCAATTTTGTTCATAATCGATACTTTTAGCATCCATTCTTCTGCACTATACAAAAGTACAGACCGTACATAGCACTTAACCATTCTTTGACTTAGTTCTAAACTGAGATGGTTATTGCAAAGAAATGACTTCATTTTCATGAAAGTAGTTTTAGTCATTGCTATTCAACGTTTTATTTCTATGTCTGGATCTAGTTGGTCCGTTATCACAGTTCCCAAATATGTCATTTTGTGAACTTTCTCAACTTGGACGCCGTTCAATTAAAACTTTGCATCGGAATGTGGGTCACGACTAAACACTAAAAATTTGGTTTTGTTTGAGTTTATTTTAATGCCCATTTCCTCTCCTACCTCGTGAATACGATCAGGCAGAATTAATTATTAAAATAGGAAATTAATAGAAAAGTAAGAAAGTACCACTATTAGTAATAAACAACATAAATTAAATATAAAATCTGAGCTTGATATTAATATTGAGAGTAAATCAAATATAAGGGTAAATCTTTACTATATCGGTATAACACCCAGAGTTTTTCGTGGTTTTTTTCTCATAATTTACTATATGATCACTAAAAGGAAAATTTTACTTTTATGATTGATGAAAAATAACTGTGATAACTAGCTGGGATTATAACAAATAATTTCAGTCCAATCTATAGCATGATATTAAAAATAGAATCCTGAAAAATGTAAAAAAAACAACAGTGTTTAACAAAAAACACAGTGTTTTTAAGCGGAAAAATCAGCACCCCACTATCTATCTACAGTTAAACTTAAACTGCAAACTGCGAACTGCAAACATTTCACGACTTCAATGCTATACTCCTTACAAATAAATACCCTTAGTACATACTGAGCACATGTTTGGATGTTTGTTGTCGTTAGAACACATGTGACATCGCCGTCTTGTCTTGTCATGGGGATTATCTTGTCTGGATTGTTTTACAGGTAGTCCAATAAAACACTTTATTATACCTCGAAGGTCAATTGGAATATTTCTTATTTCAGCCCTTATTTGAAGATGATCCTTGATAAGTTCTCTTCCTAAAGAAATAATAAATTGTTGCCTGTCCATTGTCTTACTAGTATCTACAGCACTGTTATAAATAACGTGAGAATTTACAATTATAATATTTATCATTCCATAAAAGTCAGTGAACAACGTCTACTTCTTCGACCTAGATTATAACAGGGGCACTTTTGGTCCAAGATGGCAACTCCTCCTTTTGCTGAATTATAAAAATTTATAATTTCGGGAAGTTTTTTTCATTATTTTCGATTATAGCTGTATGGTGTAGTGAAGACAGCATTATGACAACTTTACGCTTTTTAGGCACATATGAGGTTAGGATTGTTAGATTGTTTGTAAATCCAAAAATTGTTGATAAAGCGGGGCGGTTTTTATTAGGCAAAAATTCAGGGGTTTTTTCTTTTTTGTTTTTTCGCAATGTTCCTGTAAACATTAGTCCACATTTTTTAAGTTCATTTGCCCATTCAACTGATGAAAACCAGTTATCACCCGTGATATTTCGATTAGATTTTAGATTTTAGATTATATGAGGTCGTTAAGGCCGTGCGGCCTCACCGCACTTCGACCTATACAGATCTTTTGTGCATACCTTAATCTAGTTAAACTCTAGAATGCCAATACTTCTGATGAAGTTGATTAGCTTCCTAGGTGACTTGTTTCCTATGTCAGAGCACGCCAGACTCACCTCTCCTAGGAATTTTAGTCGTTTACAGAACAGTGCTACGCAGTTGCATAGTATATGTTCTGCCGTTTCTTTTTCATTGTGACAGAAACGACAGTTCTCACTATCTGATGTGCCCATCTTCTTGAGATGATATCTCAGAGGGCAGTGACCAGTGAGAAGGCCAGTGACCATTTTAATATCTTTCTTACTCATTTCGAGAAGGCGGTTTGTTGCAGTAGGCGACACTTTTATGAGCCTTTTTGCTTGCCTTTATCCTGGTGTGTTAGACCAATATGATCTTAGTTGTTGAGTTTCCAGGTACGGAGTTCCTCTCTGATGTGGCTTTTCGATAGTCCACAGAAGGGTTCCGGACCCTGGAATGGGGTATTAGCTCCTTCTATTGCGAGGCTGTCAGCTTCCTCATTTCCTGCAATTCCCTTGTGACCTGGCACCCACATCACAGTTACATTGTTGCGTTCCGCCAGCTTCTTGAGAGATTGTTTACAGTCCCAAACCAACTTTGACTAACATGTAAGTGACTTTAGAGCCTTTAAGGCGGCTTGGCTGTCTGATAAAATAAAGACTTTTGCCCTACGAGTGTCTCGGTTGAGACATTCTTGGGCACTTATGTCTATGGCATGTATTTCTGCCTGGAAGATAGTTGGGGCGTTTCCAAGAGATTTAGATAGCCTGAAATTGGGCCCAGTAACTCCCACTCCTGCCCTTTCATCTATCTTAGATCCATCCGTATACCATACGAGTGAACCCTCTTCCACTTTTGGCTCAATTTCTTCACCCATTTGGTGGTTTTTATTATTTGTGTCTGTCGCAGTTTTAATGCGGTAGTTACTGCCTCCCTCCTTATGCAGAACTGAAAGGGAAGAAGTTTCAGCATCGCGTCTAGAGCTGCAGTGGGGCATGTTGACATTGCCCCTGTGATTCCCAGACAAGCTAGCCGCTGCACTTTTTGCAGCTTGGCGTTAGCTGTTGTTTGTTGTGTTTTTGGCCACCATACGAATGATGCGTATGTGACCATGGACCTAATTATTGTTTTATATGACCACAGAGTCATTTTCGGTTGTAGGCCCTAAGTCTTTATAAATGTCTTGCGGCAGGTCCAACTTGCCACCAAAGCTCTGGATAAAATTTTTTCAATATGACTATTCCAATTGAGTTTTTGATCTAGGGTTACCCCCAGATATTTAACTTCCTTGGAATAGTCTAATGTGATGCCATTCATAGTTGGAGCCTGTAAATTGTATTTACGTCTCCTTGTGAAAGGTATCAAAGTCGTTTTACTGGGTTGACACTTAAGCCCTCCTTCGAGCACCAGCTTTTAATTTCGTTAAGAGCAGTTTGCATGAGACTAGATATAGTCTGGTCATGCTTGCCCCTAATTGTAACAACTAGGTCATCTGCGTAACCTTGGGTTATAAAACCAGAATCATTCAGCTTAGTGAGGAGGTCATCTACAACCAAAGACCACAGTAGAGGCGATAATACTCCCCTTGAGGGCACCCCTTTACCGCTGTCACAGTCACAGATTCTCCTCCAATACTAGCAGTGATGATTCTCGTTTTTAGCATTGACTGAATCCATTCCATTAGTGAGACTTCAATGCTTCTCTTTACTAGTGCTCTTTTTATGGATTCAAATGAGGTATTATCAAATGCTCCCTCTATGTCAATGAAAGCGCAAAGAGCTATTTCTTTTGCCACTATTGTCTTTTCAATTCTTTCGACTAGCGAATTCAGAGCATTTATAGTGGATTTGCCAGTCTGGTAGGCAAACTAATGTTTGTGAAGTGGATTCCTCGCTAAAGTTTCGCTTCTTATGTAGTAATCTACTAGTTTCTCCATTCTCCATTGTTTTTAGGAGAAAGGAGGTCAGGCATATAGGACGATAAGACTTCGCTTCGTCCGTTGGACGTTTCCCCGCCTTTGGTATAAATACCACCTTTGCGTCCCTCCAAGTTTTTGGAATGTGACCTAACACAAGGCTTGCTATGAAAAGCCGCTGTAGTTGCGGCTGTATTTGCATGAAACCTTTTTGGAGTAAAGCAGGAAATATTCCGTCCTTACTAGGGGATTTAAAAGGTTTAAAGCTTTTAACGGCCCATTCGATTTTATTTTGTGTAAAGATTTTTTCCGCTAGTTGCCTGCTGGATCTGTTGAGGCCCCTTGGAGCCTCTGCCGGCTGCATACTTTGCGGTTCATCTTGTATTTGTTGAGAGCCAGGAAAATGGGTCTTCAACAGCTCTCTAATAGTTTCCGTTAGACTCTCGGTATAGTCACCATTCGGCTTTTTTATCAGTCCGATTTCATTTGTGTGATCTTTTGAGAGAACCTTTTGGAGTCGTTGTACGGGGCTAATTCTGTTATCCCTTCGCACATTTTTCTCCACGAAATTCTCTTTGATTTTCTTAGTTCTTTGTTGTATTCAGTAAGGGCACTTCTGTAGGAGTCCCAACTACCTGTAGATTTTGCCCTATTGAAGAGTTGTCTGACCTTTTTTCTAAGTTTAGTTAACTCTTTATTCCACCAGGGAACATCCCTAGTGGTTTTCTTGTGTCTTAGAGGACAACTTGATTCATAGGCCTTTATTATGGCATATTGAAGTTGCCATGAGGCTCGGTCTAGATTTTCCTCTGTGTCAAGCGACGTATCGAGTTCCTCCATTTCGCTTTCGAGACACTCTTTATAAGTGTCCCAATCGGTCTGTTTTGGGACTCGATATTCCTCAAGGCCCTCCTCAGATGCACCTAAGTCGAACCTTATGTGTTGATGGTCCTACATAGAGGCTTCATTTGAGACATGCCAATTGTATATTTTATTTGCTATAAACGAACTAGTTAGGGTTATATCAAGAACCTCTTCCCTTATTGCGTTTATAAATGTGGGTTTGTTACCTCTGTTTGCTATTTGTATGTATAAATATCTGTATGATATTTCGATTACTTTGTACAATAGGCTGTACCAGTTGTAAAACACTAAGTGTAGGAATGGATAATTTTTTCGGATTGGGACAACCATCTTTTCCAGCATATATAAACGCATTCAATAAATAATGTATCTTACCATCATACAAACACCTTATTTTTATGCCATATTTATTCGGTTTATTCGGTATATATATACATTTTATATCGAAATCTTCCCCTAAACCCCACCAGCATTTCATCAATAGTCATCAACTGACCACAAGCATAATTTGATTGGCAGTTGGCAATCATAAGGTTAAATATTTCTGAAAGTTTATCGCCATTTTGGATTCGTTTATTTCTTGTGATACTATTATCAAAGCGCAATGCAGTACATAAGAAACAAAAACGTTTTAGTGTCATAGTGGCACGAAAAACGTCGCGACCTGTAAGATCTGTCGACCATAACGAACTTACATCTTCATTATTTGATTTAAAAGCACCAGACAGTAAAAGAAGAACAACGAAGGTTTTCATTTCAGCTTTTTCTACATGGTTTGTAAATTGACAGTTTAGGGCCCTATCAGTGTAACACATTGTCAAATCAGTAATTCTTTCATTTGTATGTTCTATTATAATATCTAGCATATGATCGTCAAATATCAAATTCCATGTTTGTATTGGTTCGGCTGGTTTATTTCTGTACACATGACCTATCACCGCAGGTATGCGTGTTCTGATTGTGTTTTCTTTTTGAGTGTTTCCGCAGACTGGAGGTATTTTTGACTACTTGTATTTATTCTTTTTAAAAAAATACTGCCTGCTGCTTCTAACTCTCCCTTTTTATATTTTTTAACCCTATCGGATTGTTCTTGAACAATTTCATTTTCAGCTTGCTCCTTTTTTGATTCTTCTAACAATGAATCACTGTCATGATCGCTTAACTCGCTCTCATCACACGAATAGTCACTAATATAATAAGCGTTTAAAGCCTCTTCTTCAAGTTCTTGCTGCGTAAGAGGTCTGTGGCGGCGGTTCCTTATGTAAAACAATCAAACAAAAATAGTATCACTAAAGGTATACTGGGCTATTATCTAGCCCGAATTCTTGTGTAATCGGAAAACAGTCGCCCACACGGACAATAGTTAAAAGTCAACT